ATTATACCCAGATTCAGACTGGAGACATGAAGAGGGCTCTCCTGGCTTTGCTTCTTCCTTTCAGCCCGTCATTCTGTCTCCTGTAATACCTGCTTTGTGTGTGCTGTTCTCAGCACTTGGTTCATAGACAGTCACAGCTTTCACGTCTTCACTGCGGTTTTTACTTTTGGTTTTGCATACACTATTATTTTTTCTCACACAGTATTTGTTTTGATCTGACTTATCTCTCACAGCTTCTGCCTTATTCTTGTCATTTCTTTTCATTTTTCCCTGTATATGTGGAGTTGGGGTTTGTATGTGTAACCTTCCTTTTCTTTTCTACAATTTGCATCTTCCTATGTAGCTCTCAGACGGAGCATTGACTTTTTTTTAAATGCAGTTTAATTATCCTTAAAAAATGTCTTGAAACTAATTACCAGTTGAGAGATAGTTGTCTCAATATATTTGAATATATATGAGGAGGTGTATGCACATGTTTGTTACACAGTGTATATATACATGTACACAAGTATGCTTAGAAAAGTGTGTTTTGAGGTATAGGTTTGACTTCTAGTGGGCACTTTTATATCTTTATATAATAGTCAAATGCTCTTATTTTCTATACAACCATTAGTTATAAACAATGATAACTGACATACATTCTCTACACTGCATTTTATCCACATAGTATTTTGTTTAAAAGTTGAATTTCTTAGGGACTATCTTTATATTATTGCAGAAGCTTAGTCTGCCACTTATATGTCAGCCTTAAATGACACTGTCAACCTCAGCAACTCCAGATGAGTCAGCCAGTGAGCTAACTACAAGTACAGTCACCTTTTTCATTTCCTTCTGAGTTTGATGACTTATGTCATTCCATGCTCTAAAATCCTGCCCGTGATGTCATTCGTATTTTTACATTCTTCGTCTTAGAGTAAGATGTGTGTTCACTATTCACCAGCAGTTCCTCATAGAACATTTTCCCAGACTTATTCCTTCATAGGCAAGGCATGCTCTTTGACTTGTAATGTTTTAAACTGGCCCTTTGCATCTGATGAGCAGCTCGGCCTGGAAGGCTCTTTGGAGTTCTGTAGTCTTTCCTTGAGATAGTCCTATGTTATATCATTGGCATTAGGCTCTGAATGGTGCTTCTAAGAAAAATGATTTATTTATTTTCCTTTAAAATTCACCTTTTCTATTTTTAGCTTTAAAATGTTTCCTCTATGTTCAAAATTTTGTAACTTAACATGATAAAAATGAGAAGGGTCTGAAAAAAATTCAATGATTTGTTAATATGTGTCTTGGCTCAACCCTTATGGATCAGTGCTTTCTACTACATGGGGTTTGTTTTCATCATGTGGGCTCAAGTCCTTTTCCTGCAGTTTCAAGAATGGAAGGGTTTTTTTTTTAACTGATCTACCAGTAAGGTTTGTTTTCACAGATGCTAGTCATGGGTGCTGTATTTCAACAGAAGAAGACAACCCTTTTGTATCATTTAGAAGCCATCTCTTTACTTGTACTTAAGGCACGTTCATATCTGTTTTTGCTGTCTCATAACTTTTGTGTGTTTTATAATGTTATTTTCATTTCTGTGACAGCTCCTTTCTTTTTCTTATTCTTTTTTTATATTATCTCATTTCATCCTTCTTGTCTCCCACTTGAGTTTTTATTTGGGGAAGAAGATGATCATGCAAGGTTTTGATGTCTCTTACACACTACATTAATTAACATCTATATAGCAAGGCATTTCATACACAAATATTACAGCATGATTAAAAACAACAACTTAACACAGAGAGAGAGAGAGAGAGAGGAGAGAGAAAGAGAGAGAGAGAGAGAGAGAGAGAGAGAGAGAGAGAGAGAGAGAGAGAGAGAGAGAGAGTTTTGTGATGTCTAACTACTGGGCATGGGCCTTATCTTGGAGTATGGTTGATATACCCAGTGTCATTCATTGGAGAAAACTCATATTGCTTTTATTGCAAATATCTACTTGGTGGGGATGACAGAAACTTTGTGTTCACTTCCTCTTCTCAGTGCTGGTATTTTGCTGGTTTGAACCTGTACTGGTCTTGTGCATGTTGTCATAGTCTCTGTGAGTTCATATGTGCATGAGTCTTCTTGTGTCTATTTCCTTAGTCATCCACCATCTCTGGCTCTTACAATCTTCTTGTCTCTTCTTCTGCATAAATCCCTGGGCCTTGAGGACAAACATTTGATAAAGACACTTCATTTAGTGCTGACTGTTCCAAACTCTAAGACTGCACATTGCCCAGTTGTAGATGTCTTAGTTAGCATCTCCTGCAAGAAGAAGCTTCTTTGATGAGTGCTTTTGGAATTCCTGGCCATGCCCCCCAGCTACATGACCGCACATGCACAGTTCAGTAGCCAAGTAAGGGGCCTTACATCCTACGTAATCTGTGCGCTGAGTGATTGTGTAATTTGCACGCAGTGTGATCACACAATCCATGTGCATGTGTGGCGCCCATACGCGCTTGTGCAAGGGAATCCCTAAGAAGTGGGACACAGACTCCTCTCTCTTCTTCTGCCTCCCCCCTCTCTGCACATGTCTTCCACAGGCCTGATCACATTCTCTTCTGTCCCTCCCTTCTCCTAATAAAATTCTTACAGTGGGTTTTGTCACACCTGGTGGTTTTTCTCTCATGGTAACAGCGCCACTTAATGAATAACATTGCGCCGCTGCATTAAAACCAACAAGGGCTGAACAATGCTTTGTTCTGTGGCATATGTTATTAGGAGTATGTCATTGTTCATATAGCAATACATCATTAGGAATCATTATATTGCTATGTTCTTTTAGCAGAGTAATAGTATTAGGTTTTCATCCAGGCCCATGACTTCTGTAGTCTCAGGATCTTGACCACTTTAGCAGCGGTAGGTATGGGTTCTATCTCACAGAGTGGGCCCTAAATTCAATCATAAATTGTTTGGTTATTCCCACAGCATTGCGCCACTGCAGCTCCTGTGTATCTTTCAGGCCAGCCACTATTGCAGGTTGCAGGGTTTGTAGCTGGGTAAAAACGATGGCTACTTTTCTCCCCCAGCAGTTTAGAATGTACCTTCTAGCATCACGAACACTAGTCAGTAGGAGAGAAGCTTCTAGTGAGGCACCCTCTCAGTTTCTTTAGCTTTGATGACATAAGTAAGTTGTATCTTTTCCCATAGGGCCTTACCATCGGGTTACATAGAGTAATCATATGGAGAGTAATAGCCTGTGTTTGGGGTGGGGGGTGGGGGGTGTGGGTAGGTGCCCATGGGACCTCTTTGGCTAATGATTCAACAACGTGTAGTCCATTTCTGGCATTGGAGCTTTCGCTTGTTGGCATAAGACATGTTGTCAGGGAATTGTCTACATCATTATATGGTGAGTCCATTTAAATTCCTTACACACACACACACACACACAAGCTTCTACAGTAGTTGATTTCCATATGGTTTTTCAAAGACCCTTTAGTGTTAGTTGTTCTGCCCATATTCTTTCCTTTACCCTGCTTTCCCATCCTCTTCTTCATTTAATCCTCCTATTCCTATAAAAGTCAGTCAGAATTGTACCGACTCTGTGGAACGTTTCCCAGGTACCCATTGGTAAGTTTTGATGTTTCTTTTGGAACTGTGCTAATGTCTTGGTATCATCCTGTGTCCATCTCTTTTTCTTTCAGGGTCAGTTTCTTCTATGTTACTAATCATTATTGAGTGGATTATTACTTTTTGTGATTAAAAGTCTTTGGAGAAAGTTCTTGAAGTTAAGCTTCAAGGTAACTTTAGTATTCTCAAACCAAAAATGCCTACCTTTTGATGCAAATTGTTAAATTAAGCAGGGCCCAGAGCCTCTGCATTTCATACTGCTTTCAGCCTCTTTGAGAATGGTGGTTTTGCTTGCTCAGGTCTGCTGTGTTCCTTGAAAAGCAAGCACCTCTGTTCCCATCACTCTCTCTCTGTGTACCTGTGTACTTCTTTTCTGCCTTACTCCTGATTCTATTACATCTATTCTAGCTTTGGAGAGACATTTTTTGCATTTTGTCATAGGGTCTTCATTTCTTGGCACTCTGTTTTTTTTTTATTTTTTTAATTTTTATTTATTTATTTTTTATTGTATCTCCTATTGCCTCACTGGTTAATTCAAACTGCTTCCCCTAAGGACTTTTCCATGCAACTTCTGGCCAAATGCAACTGCTCTTGGCAACCTTTGAAAGTACTTTGGAGTTTATGAGTAAAATATGTATAAATTTGAAGAAAATGCTATTTAAATCTCTCCCCATTCTCTGTTAGAGTGTATAAATTCCAGCAAGAGGCAGGAAAAGTGTTTAATTAACTAATGCTATGATCAACCTATTTAATTATTTGTAACAAGAATGATTTGGACTGATTTTTTTTTTCTGAAAAAGATGGAATAACCTCAAAAGACTTAGTAGCTACTAATTTTTCCAGTTTCAATATCCAGAGAAGGGGAGCATGCCACTCAACTTGGTTCTATTTTACTTAGATTAAATCACATTTTAGGCTCCCATTCACTGTGTCTTTGGACAATGATGTCTTCATACTTAATAAGCCTAGCTAATTAATTCTCACTGTAGTTCAGAAAAAAGAGACTATGTCAGAATCATGACATTGCAGGGTTTTTTGGCTTCTCTCCAGAGGCCCATTGTCTTTGGGTTATTAACTTTGGGCTCAATTTCAAGGTAATGGATGCAGTGGATGGCATATAATACAAAGCAAAAAGCCGGAAAAGCAGAACAGCCACTGGACAGTTGGCAGCGTTACCACGGGAGATCTGGGGGTTTTCCTGTAGTGTTGGAGGAAACAGCGCACAGCAGGAGTCGGTAAAGTCCCATCACCCAGATGGTATGGGTGTCCCCGGTCCTGTGTGGTTTGGGTCAATGGGAAGAATATGGAAAGTTACTGCCTCTTCCCTGGTGAGCCTTTATATGATGCCCTTTAGTGTGGATAGTTCAGAAAGACTCTAAATTCCTGACCTTATCTCCTTCTCACACAAAGAAACTTGCCTTCACTGGGGCAATTGTGACATGTTTCAGAGTGGAATGTTTAGATTGCCCATTTCGGGTTTTATGGTTGTTTCTCCCACTAGACGGGAAGCTGCTGGGATGCGGATTAGTGTCCCAACGATCCTCATACCGCCGCCCTGATACCATGTTCTGTGCTCCGTGCAAAATGCCCATTAGGTCATGGGGATGAATAGAGAGCTGGGCTAAAGTATCCATGAAAGTCTGGTCTCTGATTGGGTTAGTAGTTCAAGGTACAAAGTCACCCCTTCGCTAGCTTCCTCTTTTCCACGTACGTTCTGACCAAAAGGACTGAATAGCTGGATAACTAGGAACACACACACACACACACACACACACACACACACACACACACACACACACACACGGTGGCAGGACTCCGCCCATCTGTTTTCTTAAAGCAGGATCAGTAGTGCAGGTTCCAGTGCCTAAGCCTGTTGCTGAGTCACACGCATCCCTAAGTTATGGGACCCTCTCTCAGGCTGTTGCTGGAGCACATCCTCAGCAGTGATATGACCCTTTGGTTCAGAGCTGATCCCTCAGGGAGTCCTTTGTGCAACAGGAGAGCAGTGGGCTCCCGCGCTCCCACCGGCTCTTTGAGTGATGAGCCAGGCTCTCTTCACCCGCCCACCCCCGGGGGCCCCCATCCCCCTTTCTTGCAGCCAGGAGGTGCGGGAGCCCTTGGTACTGTCTGGGTGGCAGATGAACAGCGAGCCACTGACACATCGCAGGGCCAGTGAGCGGGAACGAGCACGGGGGCGGGGGCGGCGTGTAGTGGCAGACGGCCGCGGGGATTATGAATGGGGGCGGGGGCTGGCGAGTTGAGGTTCCACCCGGGATCGTCCGCACCGGCTGATGGGCACGCAGGGCTGCGCGTAATCCTCCAGCCGCGGTGGAAGGAGGCTGCAGAGAGCGCCGGCTGGCAGTGAGGGAGCTTCTGCAAAAGTCCCCCGCGGTCGTGCGCGTGGAGTGCCGGAGAGCTCGGCCAGGTAGGAGGGAGAGGAAAGGAGCCAAGGGCTACGGTCCAGAGGCCCGGCTGCGGTGGCTCACAGGTGGTGGCCTCGGTGGCCGCAGCATCCAGTCAAGGCGACCGGGTCTCCGGTACCGCGCAGTGCTGGAGCAAGAGGCGTAGGGGAGCAGCGGCTCGGGGATCAGTCGGTGGCGGTCCGGGGTCCGGAGGCGCGGGAGAGGTACCCAAGCTTCTCAAGCGCGGGCTGGTGGCCCCGCCTGGGTGCCCGCGGTATCCTGAGATGAGGCAGCGGGTCGCTCTCCCCCGGATCTCCAGCGTTCGCCCACGGGGCAGCCTGGCGCGGGAGCGCAGCCTGAGGTTGAGGCTGCCTCGCCTCCCGCCGCGCCGCACCACGCTGCACCGCACCGCACCGCACCGTGGCCGCACCAACTGCGGTCTCTGGAGCCTCCAGGCCGGTATGGCAGCCTCGGCGCGTTCCGGTCGCCCCTGGGAACCAGTCCTCCCACGGAGCCCTTCCCTTGGGCACTCTCAGTCTCGGCCGCTCGGCCCTTGGACCTCTTGGCCAGTCCCTGGGAAGCAGAGCGAGCCTAGGGACGTGGCCAGGCAGAAGTATTCCCCGAGCGGAGCCCCGAGTGGGCGGTGATGTGCTGGTGGTGCCTGGGGGCCAACTGCCCAGAGTTTGCAGGCTCGCTGCAGCAGGATGCTCTGGCACACCTAGGTAGCTGGGTCCCCAACCGGGCTTAACCAAGCCTCTGCAGAGCCAAGGCTCTGCCCAGAACTTTTGGCAAGCTCTGTGCCTGGGCTGCCTTGAGAAGCTCCAAGACTGGGGAGCAGGAGACCCGCTGACCCTCATCTCACTTACTTCTGTTCTGTCTCCTCTCCCTGTTCTGTTTTCCTCTCTCCCTCACACACTGTCTTCCATGTGCTATACTCAACACAAGAAAATCTGAGCCCGAGGAAGCCACTGTGTTGACCAAGTATGAAGAGAAAGGTGGAGAGGACTAGTTCTTAATCAGGTGTTCATCATTCGCATGACACAGCATACCTGGGTTGATTTTAAAGCAAAACTGATTTAAAAAAATTACATGCAGGTATCTTAGGTTTCCATCACAGGTGTATGATGTTACTAAACAGAAATGCATTCTGTGCACCCCCACGTTAGATCTTTATGAGATATAGCTGTTCCATAGATCACAGGCATCTTTGAGGCGTAGCACTTTCCAGTTCTTGCAAGTTCCTAGCTACACTGTGAAAAAAGGCAAATTAAGTCAAAATGTATAGTTAAAATAATAAAAGTCCATGCAGTTTTAGTAGATCATAATATCATTTTCTTTTGCTAAGACCACTTGTTACGCAATGATTTTCAGCTCCCCACCCCCAATTTAGAGATCCCAATGTTTTTTTGTATGACCTGAGGAAGAAGGACCTGGAAATTTTGTGGACATATATTGTCAAGAAGGTGGAGAACGCTGATGATTTCATTTTGGGTAGAGCAAATTTAGTTGTGATTTCTGCTCGGTGTACCTCATTTATCTTCTGACATCCCAGGAAAGAGAAATCCCTTTTAATATAAACACGTATTTTTCAGTGTAAAATTGGCCTATTCAGCTCTGCAAATCAATATTTGTAGGACGAAGCAAGGAGCATATTTACTCTGGTTTCTATTATTTTTGATTTTTATAAACAGAATGATGTCAGCTTGCAAATTTACCAAAAAAAAACCCAAACAAATAAAGTATTAAAAGGAATAGATAGTTGAGATGACATGATTGATACATTTGGGATGTCTAGCAAACAGATCCATCATCTTTCTATTTCCCTGATATATCTGTGAGCTAAGAAATTTTGCAATGTGTCTACTTGTATTTCCTCATTTGATTGGCTTCTTCATTTATTTCCAACTTGGCATATTTTGCCAAGATGAATTATCTTAAATTTCTCTAGAGGGTACCTGCTCAGATATGCCTGTTTCCTTTTCTAATAGCATTGGTTTTGATTGAGGAGCAAGAAGTAAATCATACATAGTTTTATGTTCTTGGAGTCACTTGTCAAGGTTGAGACAATATTTAATAATGACAGGTGCTGTCTATATGTGCTTGGGAAAGATATTTTTGTGTGGTCTTACCATCTGTTTGAAATGGGCAGGAGTAAAGAGTAAAGCTGTTATGACTTTATTCTACCTGTTTAGGCTTGAGAGAAATAAAATAGGTCTTGAGTTAGAAAGATTTGGATGTTGGTAATTAAAAAAAAATTGCAGCATGAAACTTAAGTTACTGCTCTTTCTAAGAAACCCAAGCAGTATTATTTAGAAGAAACTTCAAGTGGGTTGTGGATTATCAGACACATGGTTTCCCTGAGCATTAATTGTAAGCACCTTGAAGTAGTGTGGTGGACAATATGATGTGCTGAATTTTTCTCCTGGGAAGGACTTGCTGTCTCAACCTCTGAGAATGTTCTTAAGTGAATGCCTTCAGCATCTGCAAACCCCGGGGTGTGATGGGGTTGTAGAGGACCCTGTTGTTCACAGTCACACATACTCTCTTCTAGAGCGGCCATATCCAGTGGCTAATGAATGTCAGAATATGAAGATCAACTTGTCAGCACAACTCTATGGGATCCCTGCAGTTTTGGAGCACCTGGGATGACTCACATTGTGGTTTATTTACATCACCTTTTCAGGGCTGCTTCAACCTGTGTTCTTCCTCATGTGTTTATAATAAAGTAGTATTTAAGGAAACTACACACCATAATTTAATGTCAGAGGTGACTTGCTAGAGAAACTAATCTGTGACAATGTCCCCTGCACATGCTCATTTGGCCAGTTTTAATCAATTTACCTTCTAAGATGTGGTGTCAATTGGCACTGAAGGACACTTCTTTGTCCTTCCATCCTTCCATGATTTGTCCTTCCTTCCTAACTTTGGTTTACAGTTTCTGTATTCTCTTTTCGGTCTATTAATTTGAATATTATATATCTCATATCTATTTTTCATGACTTTAATGTGTTTTAAGACTTTTTCATTTTGTTTTGTCTTTTTAAAATTTATTATTATTATTATTATTATTGAGACAGGGTCTCATGTAACTTAAGTTGGCTTTGAACTCACTCTGTAGCTGAGGGAGAGCCTGAACTCTGGGTCCTCCTACCTTCAAAGTTCTGAGATTATAGGTGTGAGCTACCACGCCTAGCTTCATATCGTGTCTTCTTAGATACAGTGGATGAAAATGTCTATTTTCTAGAACTACATAAAGACCTCATAATTTTATCGTCTTGATACTCTGATTTCAAAAATTTTTTTTAGCAAAGTAGTTCCACCATGTTTTTATACTACAGGTCATCTTCATATAATTGGGTCTTTTGATTGTTTTATAGCCAGTGCTTGCTTAACCTGAGCCAAATCTTCTCTGCTCTCTGGGTTTCTCTTCTTCCTTTGGATTTCTATTCCTCAAGATGACAGAAATCTCCGAGTTTCTTTTGCTTGTTTGAAACTGTATCTCATTCCAGTCCTTAAATAATAGTGTGTCTGGGAGGAGAATCCAAAATTGACAATTGTTTTCCTCATTACTTTGAAGACACAGTTCTCCAGACACTAATGTTGATAAATTGGCTCCTGGGAGGTTCTTTGTCCCTGATGTTTTCCTGTCTCACTTGTGCGTTGGCTTTTACTGTTTCTTCATGGGCTTTTGAGTGCATAGTTAACCAGAGGATTCCTGTGTTTCTTGGTAAGAATTCACAGCATATCTGAGCCTATTCCACCTTGCCTCTATTCAATACTGCCTGTGGAAGTCCTACTTGATTCACCCTGGACCCTCTCTTCTCACCTGTCAAATCTATCATCTCTGTATCACCTTCCAATTACAGATAATTAGGAAGACCTTTGGGTGGCTGTCCAGAGGCATTCCATAGGTGTTCCTGTCCTTACTGATGTCTTATCAATTGATTAATTTGCTCCTTGAACTGATTTCTTCTCTCATGGTTAAAAATGCTATTTGATCTTTTCAGATCTGCTTGCTTCTCCCTAGATTTTCTATCCTCTTGTTATGGATTCTAATCTTACTTTATTTCTTAAAATCATACCAGAATAGTTTGTAAGTCCCTTCAGATTGTTCTCTTACTTGAAATTCTTCTGGGATTGCTCATCCAGCAGTGGTATCTGCTAGAATTGCGATAGCTTGATAGTTCCAT